AAAAAAAGAAGGGAAAAAAGTTAAAAAAAATATTTCTTTTTTTTTTTTTTTTTTTTTTTTGCTATGGGGCACATGCACTCGCCAGACAGAGAGAGTCAGAGAGACAGAAAGCGAGAAATCACCCCCCAGAGGGGGATGGCCATGCAGCAATCCCTTCTCCATTCTCCTCTCGGGATCTTGGGCACGCACCCGGCATGAATTTAAACCACTGGGTCTGGGATGCAAACCGCGGTCGACTACGTGGGAGTCCAGTGACATAGCCATTACGCTAACTGCTGGTCCCTAGCATATGCCTTTTTGACAAGTGCTATTATGGGATATGGCTTGGGGTGCTCCTTAGGAAGTTGTTCACACACACACACAAGAAGAGGACCTATCCTGGTTCTTGGGTTGAGGTCGCCATGAGAATACGCAGCGAGGGGAGAGGTGTGAACATAAGGGTGTTTGTGTGTGTCTGGGACATTGGAGATATACTGGAATGAAGTATGGCCTCCTTGGCAAGGAGAAGGAAGAAGGGAGAAGCCAGAGGTCATTTATAACCTGAGACCCAAAGGACAGGGTAGGAATTATCTAGGAGGAAGTGGGGAAACTAGAAAGAATGTTCCTGAAAGAAGTAATGTCATGTACAAAGACCCAAGGGAAAATAAGAAGTATATTCTATTTACCAGGTAAGATAAGTGCTTCTCTAACCTTAATGGGTATATAAATTACCTGAGTTTAATGTCAAAATGCAGATTCTGATTTGCAGTTCTAAGGAGGGACCTGAGTTCCTGGGTATCCAACAAGCTCCCCCGTGATACTTACACTGCTGGTTTGTGGACCAAACTTTGAGCAGCAATAGAGGGACGCCTCAATTTCCAGTAACTGGATACTTCTCACCCTGTCTCTGGGAAAAGTCACTGAATATTCCCTGGGCCATTTTCACTATTGCTGGTGACCTACTTATCCACACTGCATGGATCATTGGTGATGACAGTACAGTGGCAACTCAGCACCTCATTTATTCACGGATGACATTTTTTCTGTAAAGAAGGCTGCTTTATAGAAAACTGGATTAAAGTCGCTACTTCAAATTCTGCTTTTGTAACTTCTGTCCCACCTTTATCTACCTCCTCATTGAAACACATTTAACAGTTTCAGCATGAAATCTGTCTGAACGGATGTGCTTAATAAATGTTGTCAACACTTGTCAAAATCAAAAGAAAATGTCCCAGGGAAGAACTTGCAGCCTTGTTCCCATTAGAAGCAAGTTATAAGGCTGTATCATATCTTGAAGTGGTTCTTTAAATGTCACTTTGAGCTCATTTTAATAAATGCATGAATTTCATCTCTGCCTCATCTTGTAGCAGCAAGTGTTTGTCTCTCTAGGGACCAGGGATGACATCTTTACAAATATTTTAAAAATTCCATCTCCATGGGCCAGCAGGTGGCATAGTGGACTCCCACATGGCCAACCATGGTTCAAGTTCCAGATCTGACAGCTTGAAACTCACACTAGATGCGTGTGCATGCTTGCCCAAAATTTCAGGAGGAGAATGGAAGAGAAGGGATTGTGACATGGCCATCACCCAGAGGGTTGATTTCTCAGTTCTCTCTCATTGCCTCTCTCCAGTGAGCACACATGTCTTATGGCAAAAACAAACAAAAAACTTAAAAGAATAAATTTCATCTGTATTCGAAAGGCTAGGAATGGATTGGGCCCTATTGTAAAGTTTCCTGCAAGAAATTCATACCGACATCATATGACTTAAAAAATAAGCCTCCCTACATATTTTCTTGGAGGAAGAAGACGTAGTAGGTATCATCAAAGTGATTTAAAATGAGTTTCTGGACATAAGATACTTTAGCTTTCTTCGAAAGCGGGTGGGTAGGGTTTTATCACATTTGTTACTAAGTAATGTGCTGATTTTAATCCTACTATGTGACTCTACCTCCTCACTTAATTCTAACAAGCAAATATATATTGTTTATATACATGGTTAATTTTATTATATAGGCTTAGCATTAGAGTAAATGGAGCTAATCCTGCAGGCAATCAATAAAACTTTTAAATTCCTTTCAGCACCTTCATTTTCAACTAGGATCTCTTATTCATCTTAGAGACATAAGGACTTTCCTACCAAAATGAATAAACTTGTCATTTCTCTCTTCTACTAGATGGGCTCAGCAATTTATAAACTTCTGGGTGCATAAAAAATACTCTACAAGTCTGTCTGTGTAAAACCATATAAAATATGCTATATTATAGATAAGTAATTTTGAAGTCTGAACTTTACTCCTCTATTTTCACATCACTCCCTGATTTTGGACCTCCCCAACTCTGCCCAGAGTAGATGTGATTCTCCTCCAGAGCAGAAACTGAAGAATGCTTCTACTGTTTTGTTTTATTTTTTTTAGAGTTTTTTGCCTCAGGTCGTGTGTACTTGCCAGAGAGAGACAGAGACATTGAAAGGAAAAGTGAGAAGCCATCCCCCAGGGAAGATGGTCATGCTGCAATCTCTTCTCTTCCATTCTCTTTCCAGGATTTTGGGCATCATAACACCCTGCATGAGTTTCAAGCTACTGGGTCTGAGACTTGAACTATGGTTGGCCGTGTGGGAATCCAGTGACATAACCACTACACCAACTCCTAACTCACTTCTATTGTGTGGTGCCTGAAATGAGAAGCCTGAAATCTGTCTCAACTGTGCTTCTCAATCTTCTATTTTCCACTCCTGATGTCACCATCCCTGTGGGATGTGCTAGACATGGGGATGTGCTGACATGTCCTAGAATGGCCTGCATAGAAGGGACCCCCCATAGCATACCAGAGCGTTCCAGAGGACATAGCAACAACAGAACATGGAGGAATCACATAGTTGTTTTTGACTCTCAAATCCAGTTATCGCAGACAAATGCTACCTTGGTCTGCGGTGTCTCTTCCATATGTAAATGACTTGAAGCCTAGAAATAGTGTGGTCTATGGGTAAAAGCCTAACTGTTTTGTGGCCAGGAAAGCATTAGTGTGATAAGAGCAGCCAGATTTGAGGTGGAGTAACACTTAAACCGCAGTTTAAAAACGTCTACGCCCCATGTTGCAGGAAATCTGTAAAAGTAGGGGCTGAAAACTCAAGCCCTTTGTAACACATTGCAAGAGCCAATTTCCTTTCATAATTTCCCTCCCTCCCTCCTACCTTTCTTTCATTCATTTCTTCCTTTACTCTTTCCTCTGTCATTTCTCTTTCCTCTCCTTTTTGTTCTTTTCCTTGTTTAGAAAGACAACAGTGTTATTCCATCACATGCATTAGGTTCAATCTATAGGTTCCTCAAGGTAACGATTACACAGAAAATAATGTATACATACATAAACATTTAACATAACACAGATTTTACTTAAATTATTCCATGGAACTTTTGCCTTTATCTATAAACTTTTACTTAGCACAATTAATAGTCCTTTTTAAATGCCATTTATATTAGTTAATAATGGAAATGCCAAATACTATACTCATACACTATTTGACTTACTGCTAATTTCAATGTGACAAAATCTAACTAATTCAGTACTGGTAATATGAGGGTTATATGTTTATCAGGAAAATATTGTCAATTTAATTGACCTTCTACTTGGTTCTTCCTTTAAGAGAAATAATCTACATCTCAAATTGAAAATTGCATGCAAAACTATTAGATCATATTCAAAAGCATGTATTTTAGAGAATTATACATGTTTTATGTGGTGGACAGGATCAAATACAAAGTGTGTAGACTTGACACATCAATACCTTTTAAAATTCCAAATTATCATATTTTCAAAAGGGAAATATTTTAAAATACTTAAAAGATTCAGAGGTTTTTTGTATTAAATTAGACTCAATCTTAAATTTTGAGTCATATTGTGAAAAGCAAGTTTGGTCATTTCAATTTGTTTCTTAAAAATGTAGGTACAATTTTAAATCTTTATAAATATGTATACATTCTATCATATAGTTGAACCCACCCAGATTTAGAAGAAGTGGGGAGGGGGAGGATAATAAGTCTCAAATCTGGGAGACAGAGAAGTTAAGGAACTGTTTCTGGGCACAGAGATGATAAAGATAACCTGAATTTTCTGAAGTTCCTGTTGTTTCCATGGTTCCATGCTGCTTCCTCATTAAAATTGTTTTATGCTCATTTTAAAAAATAAAATGAGTATTTTTACTATGTGTTGGTATTGGGAGAGCTGAATTAATGTAGCAACCAAAAATATTTTATTCAAATTTTCAAACTGCTTGCTGGGCCAGCAAGAGGCACAGAGGTGAAGGTGGCTGGATTCCACATGGCCGACTTCATGGTTTGAATCAGACATGCCTGTGTGAGTGCCCAAAATTCCCAGGAGGAAAATGGAGGAGGATTGCATGACCATTCTCCCTGGGGGGAAGTCATTTCTCTCTCACTCCCTCTCTCTCACTCTCTCTCTCGCCTCTGTCTCTCTGGTAAGCACATGTACGCTCTGGCAAAAATCTAAAACAAAACCCAAACTGCTTGCTTAGAAAAAGATGCTAACTCTGCTAGAAGTCAGACACAACCATGCCCCTGAACTCTCTGTAGGCATTGGTTGCAATTTTATATTCACAATGGGTTAGTCCATGGTGGTTCCAGTCATCACAGGAGCCAGTCTAACCAGGAAACATTGGTTCCAGCAGGTGGGTTTGCAGTGTTTAATCCAATATGAAAGGACGATTTTTAATAAAGCATGTTGTGCTTCATTTATAAACAGAGACAGGACTCACTAGAATGTGTTCTCTTTTGTATTTTGGGGCACAAACAGCAACTTGGAGTCGCCCCTGATGTATGAAGTTTCAGAAACACAGCAGGGCAGCAGCGACAGCTCGGGGAGTGGCCTAGGAGGCGCCATCACAGCGTGTAAGAAGGTAACCTCACCTAACGCCGCTTTCTGCTCCCCGGGTGAACCTGGGCACTAGTCGGGTTTGATCTGACAGGCCACTTTTCTAAAGTAGAAACAACAGCAAACAATAAAATGGCTCAGATTTGGCATTCTTAAATGGCCCTGGTGACATTTAAACTATGTAATTCAGGGACCAGCAGGTGGCATTAAGGCACAAAACTCTCACATAGCCGACTGTGGTTTGAGTCTCGGACCTGGTGACTTGCTTTCTCATTTTTCCTGTCTCTCTTTCTCTGTCTCTCTCAGGTGAGTGCGTGTATCCTGTAGCACACTGAAAAATAATAATAATAAATAAAATTAAATAAATAATTCTTTAAAAAATATGTAATTTATGGAAATAATCAGAATATTCAAGCAGTTCAGGAAAATATAACTTGAAAATGACAAGCCTCCATTGCCATACCAAATCAGCCCTGAACTCCGCCAGTCCCTCTTCACAAGCCTAGGCATGGATGACAGCTTTTTAGATCTCCTTTCAGAAAAAAATCTTCACAGGTTTTGAATGATTCGAGTTATTATATTCAGCTCCAAAGTCTGCATCTTACAAACTTCATGTGTGTTCTCCTTTTGGTATTTTCCTAAAAAGAATTACTATATGCCTGGCTTATTTTATTAAGGGAAACAGAATCGCATTTCCTAGAATATTGACTTTGAACTGATAAATAATCCTGCTTGAAGATACTTGCACAAAGTTGTCATTTAGACAACATAAAATTATTTAATTTAACTATCTCATTTTTCCAGCCAACCCAACTAAAAGCCTAGACACTTAAAACAAAAGACTCTCGATGCTGATTCTCCATTTAATGCTCTGTCACTATTTGTTGTTGATTTCTAGGAGAAAAACATGTTCTTTCTCATTCAAACTTAGAGTAAATCACACTGGATTATTTTTCTTTATTGCAAATAAATTAAAAATTAAATTACAGGGGCCAGCAGGTGGCATAGTGGTTAAGGCACTGGATTCCTAGTGCCATGTTGACTGCAGTTAGAATCCCAGACCCAGAGGCTTGAAACTCATGCCTGGCACATGTGTGTACATGCCCCAAACCCCCAGAGGAGAATGGAGGGGAAGGGATTGAGATAGGGCTATCGCCTTGGAGGGTGATTTCTCACTTTCTTCCTCTCTCTCTTTACAGTGAGAGCACAAGCCCTACAGCAAAACTCTCTCTCAAAAAAATTTAAGTTACAAAAAAAGAATAGATGTAAATTACAACATAGTTTGTTATAATGCATATTGGATATGTATATATATTATGTATATGAATAAATTATACCTTATATGCATGCATTCATATATGTATATACATATATATATTTATATATATATATATATATACACACACACACACACACATAATATATGTATCCACTTATTGATTATGGTATTCAGCTAAATACCCTTATTTACTCTCTACTTGTGTGATTTTGTATAACTTTCTAGATTTCAAATATTAAAGAAATTAAATGTCTGCACTATAAAACATATAATCACTATAGAAAAGAGCATAAAACCTAATTTTATAAAGTGTTTGTGTACATTTGTTTATTCATAACTACACATAAAAATAAATCCACCAAATTAATCAAGGGCTCTTATTAGCACAAGTTATATGATCTATTATTCTTTCTTCTCTTACAAAATTTCTATAGAAGAACCAGTATTATACATTTCAGTTTTTTTTTTTCTTTTAGTTTTTGCTATAGGGAATATGTATTTTTCCAGGAAGAAACAGAGAAAGAAAGAAAATGAAAGTGAGAAATCTGCTCCTAGGGGGGATGGCCACATGGAAATTCCTTCTCCTCTCTTTGTCCCACCCCCTGGGGTTTTGAGCACACATGGGCATGTGCCCAGCTTGATCCTTAAGCCACTGGGTTGGGACTGGAATCGCACAGTTGGCTATGTGAAATTCAGCACCTTAACCTGCACGCCACCCACTAGTCCTGAATTTGTTTTTAATGCAAGAAACTGTGGCAGTATGGTAATTCAAAAATGATTTCCATTACTTATCAAAGAGGTAAAACTGCAGGTGTCCAAGCCTTTAGGTGTCTTCTATTCAATTCTGCAGCTTCAAATCATAGTCTTTCCTGATATTGTACATCTCACAAAGCTGAACGATTATTAATTCATTCTAACTTTAAAGACAAATACATTCCTATTGATTACAGTTCATGTGGTTTGAAAGAATAGAAGCCAGACTGCCTGAATTTGACACCCAATTCATCATTACCCGTTGTGTGTTCTTGAGCAAATGGCTTTAGTCTTCATTCCCCAATTTCCTCATCTAGAATATGAAGATAATGATGTCACTTACTTCACAAGGTTGAAGTAAAGCTTGAACAAGTTAATAGATATAAAATGTTTACAACAGTGCCTGGCATGTGATAAGCTCTCAAAGATTACATAATGCTAATAATATCCTACAGAATAATTATAGCAATGAATATATGGGTGACTCAGAAAAATAATTCAATATAGGTATTAACATACTGAGCAATCTATAATTGTTATCTCAACTACAGTTATTTCCTTGGGAAAGAAGAGGTATTTCTTTAAAAATAATCATATCTAAAAGCTACTGAATTGACAGAGCTATTTGGGGCTATCTACTCAAAAAATTAAAACCACAACTCAGTCATCACTTCTAAATGGCTTCATTTGTGTGTGTGTGTCTGTGTGTATATGTAGCATATATATTTGTATGTCTATATATTAATGTGTTTATATTTGCAAATACAAATCTAAAGTTTTAACTATACTCATTCCAAAATGATTTTTAAAACAACAATTAGTAGGTTGGACCATATGAAATTAATCATTACTAATAGATAAAAATGATCAAATATAGATAATTTTATGGAAAAGTAAAATAATAATTCATAAGTTAAACAATTATGTTACATAATTGTAGAATAATATCTCAAGAGCATGTAACTTAGGTGAAAAACAAGTATTATGAGCATTAAAGGCTAAGGCCAAGAGAGACCTTGGTCCTGTGATGGCAACAAGCAACAGTGGGGCAGTGGGTCTTAATTGAAGCTCTGAAGGATGATCAAGATTTGAATGAGTGGGACCAGCAGTTAGCGTAATGACTATGTCGCTGGACGCCCACGTGGTCAACCGGTTGGCATCCCAGACCCAGTGGCTTAAAACTCACACCTGGCGCGTGTGCGTGCATGCCCAAGATCCCGAGAGGAGAACGGAGAACGGATTGCAGCGTGGCCATCCTCCCTGGGGGGTGATTTCTCGCTTTCTGTCTCTCTGTCTCTCTCTGGCTGGCTGGCAAGCGCACCGTGCCCTATAGCAAAAAACTCTCCAAAAAAAAAAACAGTTTTGAATGAGTGAGGCCAGCAGATGGCATGGAGATTAAGGCAGCTGGATCCTACATGGCTGCATCCATGGCTTGAGTCCCAGACCTGGTGGCTTGAGAATCACACAGAACACATGTGTGTATGTGCCCATGTTTCCAAGAGGAGAATAAAGAAGAGGGGTTGTGGTGTTGCCATTTTTCCTGGAGACTGATTTTTCACTTCCTTCTCTCTCTGTCTCTGTCTTTCTGTGGCAAGTGCACATGCTCTACACACACAAAAAAAAAAAAAAATGAATAAGGCCAGCTCCATGATGCAAAGTCAATGCACTGAACAAGAGAAGCAGAATCCCACCTGGCAACCCTGATTCGAGTCCCCAGTCCTATTAACCCAAAACACACCAGATATGCACGCAAGTGACTAAGATCCAATGGGCAAGAGGACTAGAGGAAGGGAATTGTGGCATGACCCTGTGAGCTCTCGCTCACTGTCAAGTGTGTGTGTGTGTGTGTGTGTGTGTGTGCGCATGCTCTTTCATGATTTTAAAAAATTGAAAGACAGTATTTGAATGAGTGAACAAATTAGTCAACCAAATTTAGTAAAGGTTGCTGTAAGTTAATAAAGTTGCACTGGTCATTTTAAAAAATATTCATAGTGCATCCCTTTTATTTTTTAAATACTTTCTCAATAATTATTCTCATAGAATATTTGCATTGAAAAGATTAGCTGCTGTGTGTGTTGCATATCACACACTGTGTGGTCTGTGACTGCCTTCCCTTCAAAACAGTAGCCAACAACATGTACTTCTTTGTATCTAGGATGTAAACTTCAGCAAAAAGACATCGAATATTAAATAATTTCATGTCTTTATTATTTTGTTATTATATATTAGTGCAAGCTAATTTCAATGACCATTGATCCCCTTTTCTTGATCTTATTAATCACAGATAATAAGAAAGTGAGGATCAATATGTTCATAAATGCACATAAAGTGTATGTTCTGTACAAAAGAGGCAAAAATAACAGGATGATTATATCTCAGAAGCTGTCTAGATGAATCACCGTTCTTCACAGTCAACCTCTAATAAGAGTAATATGGATAATTGAAATCTCTAGGTCACTCCCCAAACTCATTTCATGTAATAGCCCATCAAGCCTTCTTACCAGAAGTGATATATTGCTAAATTAACTGGTGGAAGAAACAAAACATGGGTCTAAAAGATAATGCACTAGTTGGATAATCAACCTCTGAACAATTGCAAACCAACTGAATTTCTTTCATGTGTTTTATACTGAACCCCTACGGGTATCTGGAATTCTACCCAGGTGTAACTGTTCCTGTTCCTCTTTGTTGATGGGGTAATGCTCTCATTAAAACCATAGCTGTGAAAAAAACAATAGCATCAAGAAAAAAAACTTTGGTGGACTTATTTGAAGAAGCAACTCTTCAATATCTATTCTTGGTAGTGAGAGACTTGTCTTTCCTCAGAGCTAAAATAATGATACCACACCTTAGCTGTTTATGTATATTGTCCAGGCATTTTGTTAATAGACTCCCTTTTGTTCCCCCCAGTGCTTTAGTAAGTATGCAAAATAGCTTGTATGTTCATCCTAGTGCTAGCATTATCCTTTCCTTGGCTCTTTTCTTTTTTAAGA